TAGATAGATAGATAGATAGATAGATAGATAGATAGATAGATAGATAGATAGATAGATAGATAGATAGATAGATAGATAGATAGATAGAAAACAAGCTGAGCTTACGTACCCTTAACCAGGAGTGCCTGGCGACTCCAAAGGCATATCCATCTGAGCCAAATCCCTTCCCCGCGAACCTGACCTTGCAGTCTTTGTCGTATGAGGCCAGAGCATACTCCAATAGAGGCGTGTCGTCCAGGTACACGTCGATCTGGCCGTCCCTGTGGGAACATAATGAAATTACAGAGAAATAAAACCAACTGTTCACTCATGGGGCATTTTTGTTGAAGTAAGAATTAAAAGGCATTTGCAACACGAATACGCCATATGTGTGTCTAAGGAATAGAGGTGTTATATAGGAGTAACTAACACAAAGAGGAGGAGAGATAAGAACGATAGAAGTTTGAGACGAATGACGGAGCAAATCACATCAGACCAACCGCCAACCACCCACAGATACGTTCTGGAACCAAATGAAAAGGCAAGAGATGAATGGGGAAACCTTTAAAAAGATGGGAACAGGACATAGTGTGGTCCAAAAAGAACTTAGGCTGGCAGGTTGGCGAGAGCTTAGCTTTCTATAGGGGGAACGTCCGAGAAGCAAAATCCAAACAATGAAAAACGACCATAGGAACGCACTGAGACAGCTTAATGCATTAGGCCTAAATACAGGCTTATCAGAAAGACTAAACAGAATCCAGGCTGAGATAGAAAAACAACAAATAACTATTGGAATAGAAATTAAGTCAACTTTAAAAAAAAAAATATATATATTTTGTAAATAGAAAGAATTTATAATACACAACATACCAAAGGTTCTAAGTATGTCTAAGCATTTCCAATAAGCTTTGTTATTTTGTTTCATAGACCTACAAAACAATATCTGTAATTTGGTAATCTTGGAGAAGATACAGACGATAAGGTGCCAGGATAAATCTGTTTATCTACAAACACACAGGCAAGAAATGGCATGGCAAGTGTCATCAGAATATCTGCTAATCTTTCCCCTGAGCATTCTGACAAGGCAAGTTACTCGTATCTCGAGATGTAAAAGAGAGAAAGCAAAAGTAGAAGGCGCTTGGAAGTGTCTACTGTCTATGCACATACTTACATTTATACATACACACACACACACACACACACACACACACACACTCACACACATATGTATACACAGGCACACATACGCACACACA